AAAACAACGAAAATAAAAGTAAGACGGTACGACAGAAAAGACAAAAATAAAAATAGATTGATGAAGAGAGATATCATTACATAACATCCACCATATAGAAGGTCAACGTTTAGTTTAATGACCTAGAATTTAATATGAATGAAAGTGTAACTAAATGTTATATGGTGAAATATGAATCATTTTATATAATAACATCATGTTCTGGGTAATAGTTATAGTGCCACGGATTATTAAAGGCAAATTTTAAATATGAGTTTCCAAGGGGGTAAGTGCTGGCACCCAGCACCGAAACACACTGGAAAGTACTGAACAGGTGCTGAGGTGCTGAGTAGGTGTTGAGGTACTGAGCAGGTGCTGAAGTGCTGAGAAGGTCTTGAAAAGGTGCTGAAGATAGGGGTGTGAATTTATTGTTATTGTTATTAAAAACAATAACTTTTTTTGTTATTTGTTATAAATAACAAAAAAATAACAACTGTTTTTTCTGAAGAACCTCCAACTATGGGTGGAAAGTTACCTTTGCGTTACCAGTTACATGCGAATAGGGGTAACAGTCAGGTATATGTCTCTCGTCACTAAACCCGTAGCCTTGGGTCCTCAAGTCTTATTATTTCGGGGTACCCTTGGTTCCTCAAGTCCTACTATTGGAGGGTACCCTTAGATCCTGAAGCCCTACTATTGAGGTACCCTTCGATCCTCAAGTACTACTATTACGGGGTACTCTTAGGTCCTCAAGCCCTACTATTGGAAGGTACTCTTAGGTTCTGGAGTCCTGCTATTGGGGATATCTTTGGATGCTGAAGTTCTTCTGTTGGGACTACCCTTGGGTCCTCAAGTCTCACTATTGGGAATGCTCTTAGGTCCTGAAGTCCTTCTATTGGGGTACCCTTCAATCGTCAAATGCTTTCACAGGGGCATCTTTCAGTTCTGTAGTCCTTTTGTTTTGGGCAGCAGATGTCTGACATTGCTGTAACTATTAGTTGGTTGTTGGTGACAGCGTATTTATTCGCTGGTAAGGCCGGTATGTTTTTTTGTTCCTCGATAAATATACTTCTTTTTTCAGTGCTATCTTCATGTTCCGGACACAATCCGAAATTTTAATTCCACACGTATTATAATGCAGTATTACAAATATACCACAGAATATTTTTCCAGATTTTCTGTTCTTCATGAATCAACTTTATTTAAAATTTTAGCTGAATGCAAAGCATCTACTAGACGAGCAGTTAGTGGCTTAAACTACTGTGCTGCTAATGGTAACGAGGCATTCGACAATATTATTGAATTAATTAATGGTCTTACTCTTGACACAAGTGAACGTCATCGCCTTGTCAATAACATAAAGAAAGGCAAACAATATTTAAAAACGAACTTCAAAGCTAATGTGGCACGTACATCACGTGTTTTTGATCATTGTATATGCTTTTCGCTAAGTGATCCCACATCTAATTCTTTTTCAGCGGCATGTTCTGACCATGAACATGATCAAGTATGTTCTGAGTGCTTGTATCTCGCACAAGCATTACAAGATACCAAGCAAGCAATCGAAAATAGTAAAGACAAGGAAGAAGAAGTTAAACGGAAAATGCACAAGTTTACTCTTGCTTATGATGCTATTCAAGCTTGGAAATCCCATCAATTAAGATCAATTAATCAAGACCTTGGAAGAGAGAATGTTTTAGATGTTTTAGGTGAAGATGCAATTTATTTGAATTTAGATTTTGCCATGAAGTAAGTATAGCTAAATATTTTTAACCTTTTCTCTGCTACGTAGCTTGTAAAAATTTTTGCTGTTGGGAAAACTTAGTCCAGAGATGTCAAATACAAAAATTTATGATATTGAATAGTATCTACTACGATTTATATTTTTATACCGTAAAATAAGAATATATGATGGAATATAAATTGAAGGCGAATTTTGTATTGAAACTCAGCGTTGCATCGAGTAAAAAAAAAAGAAAAAAAAACTAGAATGTTCTGAATTACAACAAAACGAATAATTGTAAAACATTTCTGTCAAAGTTTTAAAGAAAATTCAGTAATAAAGTTGCTTTTTCTTTACTGTAGATGGCTTCCTGTTAAGTATAGGGAAGATCAAACAAATTTTTTTGGCAAGCGAGGAATAACGTGGCACATTACTGTCGTTTCACGTAAGAAAAAACAAGATTTGAACAATAGTCCTCGGGTTCATTGTGATCAAGAACAAGATGAATTTATGGTTGGGAATCGAAAACAAACTCTTCTTGAAGAAGATGATGAAGAAGAGAGTGAAAGCGGATGTAATTCTGAAAAAGGTAAATAAATAATACATCTGAATTTTTTTTTCATTTCCTAGTAATATGTATGTTTCTTATACTTCCAGCTCAATGTGCTCTAAAAAGTTATTTATTTTATTTATTCATACGTTTTAAGATCATGCTTTGCGTTTTACAAATTTCTTTTTGCCAAAAAAATTCTTACTGTTGACTGTTTTTGAAATGACTGTAATATGCGATCATTCTATAAAAGTATTTCGTACTACACATTCAACTTTCTTCTATTAGTAAAGCAATCATGAGATCGAAAGCTCATGGTCTAAATATGCGGAACACTCTTGCATTAAAAAGAAGTATTAGAAAGACTTCGAGCATCATTAAGATAATTTCGAAACTCTTATTCTAATTAATCTGTTATAAACATTTTGAGATGATCCTCATGCTATGGTGGAACTCTTAGCTATTTCAACGATAAATACTCTCTTTGATGTTATGCCTGTGCAAATTGTGAGTCTCCAATAAAACCCTCGATAATGCAACAGAGTAAATTATTTGGATATCAGTCATTAGTATAGAAACGTAGAGTATGGTCAGTCTTTCGTAGACATTAATAATATATGTAAATCTCGTAAAATACATTTATTTTTGTTATTTTAACTCCAGATTCGAACGATTTCGAACATACAGTCTTTGTCCATGTGATCGATCAATGCTCACAAGATAGTAAACTTGTCGTCGCAATTATTACTGGTATATTTTCAAGATTAAAAGTACATGATAGTTCAATTGGGCAAGCTTGCATACGCTGTGATAATGCTGGCTGCTATCATAGTGCTTATACAGTGTTATCGATGCCAGCTGCTTCCGAGAAGTGTGGAATAGCAGTACGAAGAATGGATTTCGCTGATCCTCAAGGTAGTAAAGGTAAAATGTGGAAAAATGGAAGCTATTTTATGTAAATGTTTACTGACTCATTTAGGTTCTAGTGATAGATATGCTGCTATTATAAAATCTCATGTTAGACGTTATCTAAATGAGAAACACGATGTTACAAATGCAGAGCAATTTGTCGAAGCTTGTTTATCCTATGGAGGAGTAAAAAATGTCAATGTTGTCGAATGTCAATTCAAAACAGTTCATCAATCCGCAAGATTTCAATTAAACAACATCAAACAGTTTAGAAATTTCTGCTTTGAACGTCATGGCATACGAGTATATCGAGCATGGGATGTTGGGGAAGGCTTTTTGATACCGTACAACAAGTTAATCAATGGAGTAAGATATCGAAAAGCATTTAATATTTCACTCAAAAATCAAATAACTCATTTGTTTCAAATATTTTTATTTGCTATAACTTGAGGAAAAAGTCATTTCCGAAACCACTACACAATGTATAAGACTGAAAGGCCTCCATAAGTTTCGAAAACGTTTGAAAAATTTTAAAAATTCTAACTGGGTTACGTAATGTTTTTGAGAATTTCGAAGAAGTTCAAGAATTTTATCGCACTTTAAGAAGCCTCAGAAGACTTTCCATGGCTATGTTAGCTTGTTATCAGCAAACGATGATTAGGACTATAAAACTTTATGGAAAATATAGCTTGCACTTTTATTCTTTCCACTGAACAGTATTTTTTAATCTTTTTCAGAAAGTCATTATCGGATCACTCGATCTAATTAAACCATCACCTGAAATAATCTTCGGTTCATCTGTTAATAATAATTTGTCAGGTTCTATAGATGTCAATCTTCGTGGCGAATGTACTGAATCGGTCAATGAAGCTACAAACTTATTTGAATGTCCAGAGGAAACATGTGTATCTTCGTTTGTGAAATACGGAAATTTACTTAGACATCTTGCAGTTGGTAATCACCGTCATATGCCCGAAAAAGTAACTTTATTGGATATGGCAAAAAAGATATATCATTCAAGATTGGCAACTGCTGACAACAAAAGAGTTATTTCGTTATCTTCAAATGATGCTGTGTTCGATTCGGACATTGGTGATCAAGTGTCCGAACTCACTGTCGGATGGGCACTTCCAGTGATACGTCCGCCTGCTAAATTTACTATTAGGCAAAAGAAATTTTTAGATGTGAGTAGTATTTAGAGACAACTCCTCTATACTCTATCTTCGTTTTACGTATTCCTCATTACGTTTCATAGTTTTCTAGTCTTATGTAGGAAAAATTCAACGATGGAATTTTACATGGTCGTTTCTGGAAACCAGAAACCGTTGTCAGTGAAATGCAAAATGCTAAATCACCACAAGGAAAATTTATCTTCGATATCAACGAATGGTTAACAACCAGCCAGGTACGCAGTTACTTCAGTCGTATCGGATCAATCACCACCCCGAAGAACGCTCAGCTATCACCTTCTGTTGTTTCAAACTGTTCAATTTATGACGAAAACCAAGAAGAGGAACGAATTTTGGACGAAGATGCTAATGCTGAAGTTGGAAATGTATTTGATATTTTTTCTATCTGCAAGATCTTTTCTTTCTCTAGGAATCTCTCAAGGATGATATTGCAGTGCACGAAGCAATCGAAAGAATAACATTCTTGAAGAAAACAAACGAAATACCAGAAACAGCAAGTAAAGAAAAACGTCCATTATCATTAATACAAAATGAACCAAGTACACCAAAGCGTTCAACTACCTCACACAATCAAAAATATTAAAAGAATGCGGCAGAAATATATTCGAGCTAAAGTTTGTTTATAGGAATATCTCTGAAATCAACTGAGCAACGTGCTAGCACGCTTTAACTTCAACAAACCAAAATTTCTTTTCACATTTCAAATAGTTTTTACTGAAGTCTACAAGAAAACATCATTGAACATAAAATTCATTCTATTCATACATACCCTGAAGTTGTATTCGAGAATAAGAAAAAGCTTGCACTGATAAACTGCATAAGGAAAACTTTCACAAAAACACTATGAGAGACTATGACACTTATCACTCATCACCATTGTGTAATAATTGATGAAATAAGAAATCAATCATTCATCTTTCTTTGTGTAATTGAATAATCTGATGAAGTTTATACTGAATTGAAACAAAAGTTATAAATGTAGCCCGACATTTAGTAAAATACATTGCAGATAAAATAATTGTTTTAATTTTGCTAGTACAACATTAAAAAGTAGGTAAAATAGGTTTTCATCAAAATTTAAAGTATGATCTATTGATCGAATGGGTGTATAATAGCATTCAGCTTTTACGAATTCATTCGTTGAAAGCCATTCAAAACAAAATAAAACAAATTAATAAATTAAATAGCATTTGAGAACGTCTTAACAATGCAATCCATTTACATTGATAAAGTATGAATTGATTATGAAGTACCTATTGTACTGCACTTATTCTGGAAAGAAAGAATCACTAATCCATATGATATAAGTCACTTTCAGAATTATCTGAATAACCTATCTTATGCAGTTTCAATGATGAAAAATAAATTTTAATTGGATTCCTAGTTCGAAGAAAATTTAAGACTAACATATACAAAAGTGATGCAGAAAAATAATGGAAATTATGGTTTTGGAGATGGTAGTCGAATATCTTTTGTGGCTTAGATGGACACCGTGTGCTACTTTGATTCCAAACATTTTATACTTGTTGGATAGCTCCTTCTTTGCTCTATCCAAAACCGTAAAAAAATTTCTGGTGTGCTTAGAATTGGCAGAGAAACATAGCTTGAAAGGAGAAGATAACCAAGACAAAAGTGCGAAAAAAATAGTAGGGTTGATCTAATTTTGCAGCTGTGACCTCTACAAAATGAAGGGTGAAGAGAAGATGACATATGCAGTTTTGTAGAGCGAATTTTGCTCTATCGAATGGTATACTACTCGAGAAGATTGTGAGAATTCATTGTGGAAAAAATGACCGAATACTGACTTACCAAATTTTTCAAAAAAAAAAAATTTTTTTTTGAAACCTGTTGAGGGTGCTTTCAGTTTGTACTTGATAACTTTTCACAGGTAAGTTAGAATGAGCTAAAATTTTGGATTTATAGGTTTCTCACTTTGCTCTTTCATTTCCAATCATAAAATATAGGGGTCAAATTTTTCGAGAGTATGACCCTATAGAAAAATGTTCGATTTTCTCATGGACCCTCTCTTAAATTAGACCGTAATTATCAATGAACATTCTTAGAAAAAAGTAATTAAATTAAAAAAAAAATCATTTAGAAGAATTCTAACAAACAAGAAATAATATGCTTTTTATTTGATCAAAAGCAATTATTTCTCAATACATATCACTAGCTATATTTAATAGAATAGAGTTCTTTTTTTTTTGTCTATTCTGGTTCGAATTATTCTATATAGACGAATGAACAAATTGAATTCATACATTTATGAGCAAACTTGACTAAATTTTAACATTACAACCATTACAATTGAACATTGTCACTGTAGAAGGCAGGAAAGTGCAAAGAGAAAATAAATAGAATTGAAATGAGGCTATATATATCCAATGAACATTTTCCTATCTGTTCATAAAATTGTCAATAAGAATGAATATGGATAATTCATTTGTTAATATTGTTGATCTATCTAATGAAATGTTGTTTTATATTTTCAAAAAACTTAATAATTTTGATGTTTTATATTCAATGGTGGGTGTTAATGAAAAACTTGATAATGTTGCATGTGATAGAACATTCACTCAATCTATTGATTTAACAAGCATATCATCAAATGAAAAAGACAATTCAAAAACTAATGCAATACTTGATCGATTTTGTTTGCACATATTACCTCGAATTCATGATAATATTGAATGTCTTACTGTTGATGCATGCTTTCTGAAACGTATTCTATATGGTAACAAATATTTTAATTTACACAAGATCACTTTGATTAATTTCAATGTGAATATGACTTCTCAGATTTTTAACGGTAGTATAGCACTTGATTTATTTACATTGAAGAAATAAAAAAAAAACATTTGGTTTATGTTTTTAGAAGATTGTCCATTTATTCTCAACTTCAGATACCAAATATCCGAATTGATTATAACAATTGATTATGAAGTTCTAAATGTATCAATGCTGAATTTACTCATTGATATTTATCATCGTATTTTTCTCTTATTATCAAATCTAAAGTATTTGGACTTGGATGTGAACAATAATTATCTTTTTTCTAAATCATTATTGGATGGTTTACCTTCTAGTACATGTCTTTCCTCGAGTATTACTAATTTACGTATCAAATTACACAATTTTGATGATTGTCTTTGTCTACTTGATGGTCGTCTTAATCAATTACATACATTTATTGTTAAACTTGAATATATACATGATCCATCATTGCTTAGACGTACTCCATCAGAAATCATACATAATTCGTCGATATTATTAAATAATACGGTAATATAATCTAATATTAGAACTTTTTCATTCTAAGTTATACTAGATATCATTAAATTAATAATATTCAAAAGATAGATCTCTAAAATATGTCCTATAATATGCAAAAAAGAAAGTAGAAGTAGTTTATCAAATAAAACTTCAAATAGTTTTATTTATGAAGTCAACGAAAAAAGTTATTTTATTCTTTGATTTGGTTTTGAAATGTTATGTTAGAGATATAGGTGAAATGTTTCATTAATATCGAGGTTTGTTAAATTACTTTGTCCTAGAACAAAGAAATGATGTAGTATTACTCTATACTTTTTTTTTATAGAAAAATCTGGTTAAACTGAAATGTTTTTCGTTATTTGTATATCTTGCAACAAGTGAATTTGATAATCTAGTTGCCCCACTTCTTCGTCGAATGTTACATTTGGAAAAACTAACATTATCTCTTCGTCTTAGTCAACGAACGTCATTCATTGATGGTACTCATTTGGAGAATTCTTTTCTTAGACAATTATCAAATTTACATACGTTGATATTCGATATTGTTACCGAACATGTCAACATAAATGGACAAGTTAAGCCGTCTTTTGATCATATTCGACATACATTCATTCAAAGAGGATATAATGTCGATGGTTACATTGATTGTAACAATTATCTTAACACGATGTGGGGTCGATGTCATATCTATTCGCTTCCGTCCGATATGGAATATCTACAGCAGATTTCGCATAGTTTTCCTGGTGGCATGTTCATGAATGTTGGCGTTCTATGTATGCGGGACGAATATAACTCTTTCGAACACAGTTTATTTGCTAGAATTTCACATTCATTTCCATTACTTCGTCGTCTGATAATCCAGAACAAAATAGAGCAAAAAGAAAAATCTCAAGAACTATCATCAATTATTGAATTTTCTCATCTTGTCGAACTTAACTGTATTCATGTCCATATTAACTATGTCGAACAATTTCTTTCTGATTTGAATACACGTTTACCTTCTCTTAACAAGTTTCATGTTCGGTACGAACATTTAATAACAATCACCGAGAATTTTACAAGAAATGCAACACGAATGAACTGTGCAAAATTGAAATCGATCAAATTTGATGATGAAATAACAATGATACATTCAAAAGACTTTTATCTCTATTTTCCTTTATTGTAGATAATCTTTTCATTAGATCTAATTATTCAATTTTGTTTAATATATCCATAGAAAAAAGAAGAGAATATTTTATATCTTATCAATATCGACACAATTTTAATCGATTAAAAAAAACAAAAACTTCGATTGTTGGCCAGTTTTTTAGTGATTCTGTGCATAGGAGTTTGTTTTAAAAAGTATTCTTGCGAAAACATTGACTTGTGTATCGTTCTACTTACATCGATTATAAAAAAATACGAACTGAACTTTGTTGATTCGTTTCACATTTTCATGTTTTTTAAACCTATTCATCATTCAACATTTTTAGCCACAATAATACTTGCTGCAGATACAATTCATTTCTGTTTTTCAACAATCGATCTTCTCAATCTATTATTAATAAAAATAGTAGATTATATTATGTACTATAAATGTAATTTCCATCAAGTGAATCTATAAATTAAATTCAACTTATCACACTGATTAATTCGTGATGAACGAATTCATTTAATAAAACAGATAGAATCAGAATATTTTCTAAGGAACTCCCAATGAAAATCAATGCATAAACAAAATCTGTTTTATTTCAAAATTGGAGAATTATTAAATTGTGAAAAAAAATCATTCAAAATTCCTAGAAACGATACAATAAGAGAATAATTCATAAGTATATATGTGCAAGGTCAACCAAATAAAAGTTCACTGGAATGAAGAGAAAAATGAGTTGTTATAGCTTTTAGAAAATCTTGTTATAAATGACATTATGCACTGGAGAAATTTATGATGCTAAGAGTAATTAAAATTTTTTTTAAAGGTTTTAGTCAACTGAATTTTGAAGAATTTTTATTTAGACTGATATTGATTATACAATAGATTTCAGTGATAAAGAATTCATTCCATTATACTATACCACTTGATATCTAGAATACTCGGATCAAATTATAATGATAAATTTAAATTTACATTAACAGCAAATAAATGTATACGTACTATTTAGAAATTAGAAATTATTTTCTTATATACTTAGTTTCGCAATAATAAGAATCACCCATGGAGTAAAATATTGAAGAAAACGGACTGCGTAACGCGTTTCCGAGATTGTAGCGTGCGTTTCGCAACGTTTTTTAAATACAGAACGCGTTTCGCGGCATTCTTACTTAGATAAAATGCGTTTTGCTACCGTCGTGTTTTTGAAACGATCCAAAACGCTTTTTTCGAGGTTGAGTTTCAAAGCGTTTCAGAAGTCAAATGTTGTCGAACGTACTTCGGTCGACAGATGACGCGTTCCACAGATACAAATTGGGGGGGAACGTGAAACGCGTTCCTTTTTCAAACGCGTTTTGCATTGTTTTTGCTTGGAATGATGCAAAATGTATCCATTCTTCATATAGAATCTTGCAGGAATTCACCCATATAAAGCATATGAATTAAGCAAAAAGTTCTTCGACATTATTTTAGAAATGATATGCAATAGCACTTGAAAGTTTTGCTCCTTGCACTGTTTTAGTACATGAAAATCATGGCCCAAATTTTTCGAAGGCAAGATTACAACAGAATTCTTCTAAAAGTTTAGGTTGCTAGACTGTTATCTAAATCTGATTCGAAGACTAATATTGAACGTCAAAGTATAACAAAAAGATATTCTTCTTTGAAAACTCATTTCTTTACTTTTTTATTGAAAGAAAACGCGTTTCGTAACATTCCACCAAGAATTGTTTTTAAACATTGAACAATTCGAAAAGATTTTTTAAAGACTGACGCTAATATAATGAATACAACAACTTTGTTTGGTTATTTCTGAACGAAAGAATTTTCGCGTTATGTATAATTTGAATATTTATTAGTATGAGTTCATATTTGAACTACTTGATAGTGACCGATGATACTGTGTTCAAGACCACTAAATATGATCCTGGTTCGTACATTATTGATGTAAGCGTGACTTTTTAATAAAAGAGATTCGACTTACAGAAGAAAATTCCTTTTCATTTAGTGATGTGACTAGGTAAAAGAATAACGAATGTAAATTTATAAAAATCCATTAAATCAAGAAAATAATTAAAAAGATTAATTTCTAAATTTTCTAAAGTTTATATCTAAGAAATTCCACTTGTTTAAATATTAAATACACTTTAAATCAATTGAACTCGTTTCGCTTGAATATTTAAATTTAAGTTTGAAAAAGTTTAAATAAAAAATATATCAAGAGGAGATCACATTTGTAATTGGATATAGGCACCAAGGAAATGATGATTTTTAATTCATTGGAATGAGAAACTAGAAATCTAATTTAGCAAGTTTACGCGATACTCTGGATGACAGCAGAATAAACACTGATATCATTATAGATTATTTTAGTTGAATGGCTTGTACACACGTCTTCTACTCTTATATTCTCGTGTTCGAATCCATGTCTTGACTTTATTAAAATTCATGTAAGTTATAGTTCTAAAGGCCTATGAAAAAGAATAAACGAGTACATGAATTGTATCTGCAACCCAAGTTCAATGAAGTACTTGACGGTTATCATTTTTTTTTCATCCAGAATATACGACACTACAGTTTGAGAAACGCTACGGAACTTTTTAGAAAAACGATCGTTCCACAGCGTTTGTTTTAGCAGATGTGAAACGCGTGAAACCGGTCAGCATTAATGCGTTTCGCAACTATGGAAAAATGCGTTTTGAGAATGCGTTTTTTTCGCAGAAATTTACACCATGGGTATATCAGATTATCTATTTGAACAATCGAAATCCTATTCTTATTTTGATATATTGCATAAATCTCTTATAACAAATATAAACAACATACATGTTTCATTACTTAAAAATTAAAAGATGATCATTTACTTACTACACGACCACTTTTGTTAAATCATGAATTAAATCGTAATGATACAAAATTTAATTACCTTTTACAAAAAAGAAAATAAAATCTTATCAAAACATCAGACACAACAAATTCCGCGGTTGTTTGATATTGTCTTCGATAAGTATATTCCGTTTATTAATTCAATAATTACTCAAGACGATAAATATATTGGAAGAATTCAATCCTATGCACACGAAAGTCGAAACACAGCTAAACTATTTTTTAACATCGTGGATGAATATCGTTTTTGTCCAAAGAAAGGAATACATCACAAACGAAATAGTACAGCTATCGATACAAAGATCCACATTATGACAATACGTTTCTGATGTGGCATCGTACATATAAAATATAAAAAATATTCCTTGCCATGACTCTCTTAATATGTACATAATAAAAAAAATTGTATATAAAATAAAATTCAGTTTCATCACAATGTCCCTTGAGTCATTCTTTAATCTCATATATCTACATATAGTTCGATATTCTTATTATTCTTAATATTATTTCCAGTATACTTATTAAAAAAACGTAAAACATCAACAATGATTATGATAAATATTTTAAAAACGGCGCATATATAAATTTATTTCAACTTTCAAACTTTTCAAAATTGTTTTTTTTCTGTATACAATTGTTGACATCTTAATTAAGCCATTGGATCTACCTTTACTCATTTATATAAGTTATATGATTATTTATTTCCATCAGATTCATGATCACATTGTACAAATAGAATATCTTCTCATGATTTTTGAGAAAAAAAACCGATCTTAGAATCCAAATAGCAGTTTCATCAAGATAAAAACATTATAAGTCAACCCAGGACAATTTTTTGTACGTTATTTTTTGTCATTTTAATGAACGATGAATTTTTAAAAAAATTAGTTGATGCATACACATATACAAAAAACCTTTGTCAACTATCGAGTAAACTTTAATAAAACAATTCTAACGTTAGATAAGAAAAATAAACTATGGAGCAGTAAATAAAAGATTGAATTAAATAGTCACATGGTCACCAACTACCCACGGAAAAAAATTTTAATCAATACCGCGGTCAACCGCGAT